AAGTTACGGCCTTGATCTGAATGCAGTTCGTATGGCATACCAAACCTGAAGAAGAAATCAATAATAGCTGAAGCTACAGTTGTAGCCACTTGGTGAAATAATCCATCACCACACAAATGTACCTGTTTCCAGAACGAGTTTGAGGCAAAGGACCAGCAATGTCAATGGCCTCTTTCCATTGGTGCGCCAACTTGATATTACTTCATTGGAGCACGTCCATTAATCTAGGTTACTTAAAGATCAGTTAAGAGGACTTCATAAATGCCATTACTTTGTTATTATTATTATTATTCAGACACTGATAGCAGTCTTATCAAGATATTTGACGAAACAACTGAAAAGTGTAACATTAAAAGAGAGTGTTGGATTTATCGTGTTCATTAAGAGGATTTCGTTTGTCTGTGGTTAAGAGCAAAGCTACACAATTGACTATTTATGCTGTGCTTAGTACGGGGATCCAGACACAGTTTTTAGCATTATAAGCCTTCAGTCTTACAGCAGAGCTAATGATGGGGCACACTAACAAACATTTTCCAAAGTACTAATTGTTGCAAACAACCAGTCATCTCGTTAACAGTTAATAGAAATGTTTAAATGGTTAATTTTTCTATTATTTAACTATAAGCTCTTATTCCTTGAATGTTCGTGGTGTCAGCTTTGACACTCCAAATTGGTAATATAAAAATTCGATGCTGATCTTCTTGGCTTTATTTATAAACATATAACCGTAATTTAGACAACTGAAGCATACTAAAGTTGGAAGAGAATTGTGTTATATAATATTCCGTGAATTTTCTACCTTCTGATATTAATATCGTATTATTATAATGTTATCAGATATTCTGAGTATGTATACTTTTCACATAACATGTAATCAAGAAAGCCTTTATATTGACTTCGTTCTTACTGCTTTTGTTCCATTCTCATTTTATTGAGGTCACACCTGTTCTGTCCATAGATATTATGTTACACTTTGTGCAAAAATGTAGACAGCAATGATAATTCAGATGATATTTCGAGGTAACGCCCTATGCCCTTGTCATGATATAAAAGACTGTTTAGATTAGATGTTATTGATTGATTTGTTTTTAGGAATGAGTATTTTATTATTGTTTAGTTTGTTATAATAAGAATTAAAATCAGATGATTGTAGGAGGTTTTGTTAATAATTTATTGATGTTGAGACTATTGAACGTCGCGTGCAATACATTGACGTTGAGAACAGACGATTAGGTGATAAAGATAATAAATAGCGTGAGACAGAAGCAGACACATCACAGCAGACACACAATAGTATACAGATAGTAGCAGGAGAAAGTAAAATTACAAAAGTAAAAATTAACTATCGTAGAAGTGATAGGCCTAACGTTTAATATGTTAGAGTAAGTCTAACAGTAGAAATGGAGACAAGAAAAATAATTTATTCCGCCAAAGCGTGGTTCTAAAGTAATTGAATTAGCTTGAGTGAACTTTGAAAAAGAAACAAATAGTATATCTAATATGTTTTCAATTTTATCTTTGATGAAAATATAAGAAATCCGTAACATCATAATCAACGTAGTTATGAGAAAACAGATATTTAATAATAATTTAAAATTTTTACAAATCATGTATTAAACCCATTTAGCATTCCATTTTCAGAAATGAATACTATACATGAATATTAGTTTTAACCTAAATAATAAGTTATATCTTTTGCTGGCAACGCGTTTCACTCAGTCTAGAGCTCATCAACAGGGATGGGACACAAAAAGCTAAGTAGTTGTGGAAACATTATTCACAAAACTGTTTGTTACAACAACAATTTTTTATGGTGTGAACATCTTTTCTAAACAGTCGAGACATTATTATAATTAATTACACTTCTGGCCTATTATATTTTTAATACTGCATTCTTTATTTAGTCTCTTACTAAAGTTTTATGGATTTTCTAGAATTAGATGAGTGTATAATTACAGCATGTTGGAAAACTATTCTTGTAAACTCCTTTAATTCTTGAAAATCTTTAAAGGACTAGATAAAACATGCAGCATTAAAAACTAATAAGCTTGATACTAATAACTTATGACAAGTATATTTAATTATAATTATGCTTCGCCAGCTTCGTAAAAGCGTTCACACCATAACAATAAATAGTAAGTGATTTTATTTGTTAATGTTTTTTTTTTTTTTTTCACTTAATAAATTTTAGAAACTACTAAAAGTTCCAGAGGGCTACGTTATTAGTTGAGGGCATAGAGATAGTAAATGTTTGTGGTATTATTCAGCTGGTATAGATTAGATACTAATATTATTATCTATGTGTTTGGTTGATGATCAAGTGATCAAAAAAAAGAAAAAGAAAAACTTTCAAGTAGGAGTGGCAAGTAAAGCACAAAGGTAAATTCAATAAATGCCTTTACTTTAGTGTAGCCAAAATCTCATATTATACTAGATTTACTTTTGTTAAAAGTGTTATCAATTTTATCAGTATCACTGAATATCACAATATCAATATCACTATCAGGTAAGTTGTAGAATTGGGTAAAGAATTAGTTCTAGAGCCTCACATTCTGACTAATTATTAGTATCATAGTAATATTAATAGTTAGTAATATTTGATTATATTAATGTAAATTTTGAATTTTGTGCATAAGACAGTGACACAGTTTACTTGAATTTGTTGAAGTTAAACTATGTACAGAAATCTTACCCATTGCATGTACTATTATTATATATTAATACTAATCTATATGATTAAGAGAGTAAGTTTATGCATGCTCTGAAAGCTTTTTAATTTAAACTTACTTAAACTATACAAAAATAAAATTAAGAGTAGGGAAGTATGGACGACAACACCATATAGATAAGGAAGGGTTTGGTGTAGATAGCACTATGCATTGCAAAGGAAAAGTATTTGAAGAATGGATTTGTCATCCCTCAGAACCCTCATAGACACTTAGAGTACTGGTACTGTCACCCTGTTGAGTTTCAGTACTCGCCTCTGACACCCAGGTTTTGAAAATAGTGTTAGATCTGATATCTCTTACTAGATAAGTTGATCAGTTTGTCATTTTTGATCATACTATTCAACTCAAAGTGTCCTTTGTACTAGAGGTATTTGGTGAGTATCATGTCTTTGTGGAATAGGTTTAACCCACTTGTCTAACCTTACAGTCATGAGATACCATGCATGGACATCAGCTTCATTCAAACTCTATGTCCCTAACTTCTTAAATGAGTAGTCTCAGTAGGTCAAATAACTATTGTAATCACTTAAAATACACAGCAACACTTTTACATTTCATAAACAGAATGCATTTAAATACAAAATACCTCGTATACTTCGTACAAATGTTTCATACACAAAGCATGGGTTATCTCCCTAGTACTATATTAAATTATTAGTATCAGTATTCTAACTGCTAGCTCAAAATTCAGACTATGGGCCTTTGTTTAATTTTTTTTTGTTAGTTTCATTCTTTGTTCTTGATCAAAAACTTAAAATCTAAATGTGAGAAAGACCTACTACAATTTTATGAAGTGATTTGTTTCAAATCATTTTGGAATTAATGCTTAACTTAAATTTTCCACAAATTTGATGTTTCTCACAAGCAGTAAATGGCAATGAGTCATTACATTCTTCTTTTCATATAAACTAAAAAATCTCTTAATGTATCTGAGATTAGTGAAACATTTAATGTTTAATTATAGTAAAGTAGTATTAGCTTTAGATATATTTGTTAGTTAAGTACTAACATTACCTCCTAAAAAGTGACTTATGATTTTGACATAGTGATGGCAAAGTCACTCAAACCATCAACGCAATGATCTGTTGCTAATAGTAAAATTAATAAAATTTTAGGTTGGATTTATAGACATTGATAGCAAGTCAAAAGAGGTAATTATCTCTGTACAACTTACAAATCACTAGTTAGGCCTCACTTGGAGTACTCTGCAGTTTTACTTACCTAAGAAATAATATCAGGTTTAGTGGAAATGGTTCAGAAGACGGTTACTAATTCTAAGCTGATTTTAGGTATGTAATGCTATCTTTCAGAAGTAAGTTAAGATATCTTAATATATTTGCTCTTGAGAAAAGTAGGATAAGAGGTGATTTTATTTAGATTTACAATATTATTTTGCAGATCAGTATGATAAGGGCCTGCAATTTCTTTGTGCTGTATTCAGAAGGGTGAAAGAAAAAATGAGACTTCCTGGTTAACCTAGGCTTTCATCTACTAATTATTAAGAAAAAGAAACAACTCAAAGCAAGTCCTTATCAATGCTTTCCTTAATTTTTATTTCACACTCCTGAAGGCAACCCTTTTCAAAGGCTGAATATACTAACAGAAAAATAAAAATGTATTAGCTGAAAGTGTGCCCTACCCCACCAAAAGATAGGCTTGGCTACAGTTAAGTTTTATTTATTTAGCTCACAATATGATTGACTTATGGAATGAGTTTCTATTAGCTAGCACTTTACAGAAGTTTGAAACCAATGACTTAGTGAAAATTAGAGAGTGTGTTGAAATTTTTACTTTTCTCAAGTGTGGATTTAAAAGGACAGCTTTGAAGAACCAAATGGTCAAGTGTTTTCAATGAAGTGTTATGATTTGGCTGCTACCAAAGCTGTACTAAACACTTTGAATGAGCAAAACTTCACCAGTGTTAATAATAAGGTTATAAAACCCTCCTTTCTCTTAAGTTCAGAATTTTTATAATTAGAACCAAGAATTATTTGTTGTTGTTTTTTCACAACAAATGTAAATTTAGTAAAGAGCTTTATGGTTCTGTAAAAAAATTCACACTTAAAAACTAAATCTTTATCTGTTAGTACCTCAGTTATTGTTATGATTGAATTTGGTCCCATCCAGTTTCTTTAATATTTATTATATCTGATAATCTACATTTACTATAGATTGAAACTAAGGTCATGGTCCCAGATCAGCTATTTCAAACAAATTATCAAAGCCATTAGCACCTGACACACCAATACTTGACTCTGCTCCTTTCACATGAAAAGTAAGCTGATTTTAAGTCTCTCTGCTCCAGGAAATAACTTCTCAGTATTAAATCTCATTTTACACATTCTTAATACTGAGACTTGTTCTTAGGCAGAGGTAATTCTGTCATAAATCATAAATTAAAATTCCAAACTTACCTTTTTTAATAATAATTTACAAGGTGATTAGATGACTAACTTACATTCAGTTATTGTTAGATACCTAGCACAGTGCATTATATAAAACTTGTAATGTAAGCCTATAATTATTGGTTTGGAATCATTTTGGCTATAAATATGTTAAAAATTTCAAGAATTCTGCAAAGCTTCAGGTGCTCTTTTACATGCAAGGATGCTACAAGTTGCCAACTTTTTTTTAATGGTTTTCTTTATGTTGTGTGTGATGAAGGTTTGAATTATATTTTTTATAGATATACTTGTTGGTAGGTTTTTTGTGGTTCTTCTAGAGATGACCTATATGTAATGTTCTTTTGCTCAATTTTATGCTATTTCTTAAAATCTAATTATGACTAATAATAGTGGATTATGTATAAAACTCATCCTTTAAAAGTTTAATGTTTTTATAAAATTAAATATATCATTTATTCTATCAAATTGAAGCTTGTCTATTCTGATACAATTTCATTTTTTAGGACATTAAGCAGCAAGTAAATTTCTTTGCAATGGCACTACATAGAGCAGCATATTCATCATTTTTGTCACGATTAGCCCCATTTGGATTATCTTTTTCCAAAGTTGTCAGATGTGTTAGTCCTGAAAATTATGGGTGGCTACAGACATTAAGGTGTCTTGCTGATAGCAGTCAAGTCTCTGAACAACTCAAAGGTGAAGATAGACGAGAAGCACTGAAGTCACAACAAATACCCAAGATTAAAAGACCACCTTTTGCAAAAAACTTGTTTTTAGGGATCTTTGATAAGGTAAGAATTGCAAATTGTTTGAGGAGTGATTAAATATTTTATCATTCAGTTAGAAGTGATTTTTGCCACATTATAATTAGTAACTAATAATTATTTCTTATCAAAGAACTGTTGTTTAATGCAGTGTTTCCCAAACTATGTTCTGAGGAACACTGATGTTCTGTCTGACATTGATAGGTGCTCCATGAGAAAATCATGATTTTAAATTTTAATAAAATATTTAACACTCTTTGTACAATCATAACTTATTATGAAATATTTTCCTAGGTATTAGAATTAGATAATACGGATTTCACATTAAAGAAGAATTACAGAAGATGCCACATCTATTCTACATAATATCTTCGTGGAGGGGTTTGTACCTAAAATATATTATAAGCATAAAAATGTAAAAATTCATTAATATGTAATTTGATCAAATAAATAAATGAATAATATACAAATCTAGAGGGCGCTGCATGCGTAACATACCCTGTACACCCATATTTCACGTGTCTAGTGTTCCGTAAGCTTTTACTCAGCTGAAAAGTGTTCCGTGGCCAAAAAAGTTTGGGAAATGCTGGTGTAATGGGTTAGTCAAAATTTATACCTGCTAGTTTTTCTCAATTCTAAAGAAATGCAAATATCTTAATTTGTCATTACATTGTAAAAAAAAACAGCTACCAAAAAAATTACATATAGCACAATATTGTCTTATGAAATAAGGTTACAATAACATCTTGCTCTGTGTAGAGCTACACATACATTCTGCTATAACTTTTTGTTTCCTAGAGAAATATAATGACAGTGGTTCTAATATTAGTTGTATAGTAAGAACAGTAGGTTTCTGGTAGTAGTTGTTGTTTATTAGGATTTACTTGGATTACTGTTTACAGTTTTGCTTTCTTTGCCAAAGAAAGAATATTAACCTGTTGGAAAGGGTTTAGAGGAGGGTTAATAGGATGATTACAAGAATGGAAGGGTTATTTTGTAATGATAGGTTAAGATCTCCTAAGTTATTTTCTCTTGAAAAATAAAAGGGTAACAGATGATCTTATTCAAGTTACAGGATTATTCAGAGGATCAATAGGCTAGATAATAGTATTTTTGCTTGGTTGAAATCAGTTTATATCTGATGAATATACATTGTTTTCTATGAATTAAGTTTTCTTTTATTTGTATGCTATGTTTGAACACACCAAACTTAAGAAATTTTTGTCTTTCAAAATTTGTAGTACATACTGGATTGATTTACACATTTTGATAAAAAGGTTAAAAAATAACCTTCATACTCCAGATAATTATAAAAGGACTTTTTTATTTTGACCAATTTTTTGCCTTTGTAGCTTCATCAGGGTTTATACATACAACTATGTATGTATGTATGTACTAATCCTGAAGAAGCTGCAAAGGTGAAATTCTTGGATTGTGGTTTGTTACTAAATCTTATAAACTTCCCACTAAGTGCCATGTTTCCACTTTGCATGAACTAGGTCTTGTAACTTTCCCATGAAACCTTAAATTACACCTCACACCACTTCTTTCACTCTTCATTGAGTAGTTTATAATCAGCTCTTTACATTGGTATCTAAACTTTGCCTTAGCTATTTTGAATGCTGAGTTTCATTAGTAGTTGGAAAATTGTTTTCAATTGATTAAGTGAATTTTTGCAAATTCAATTAGAATAAAACATAATTGGCATTATTTTCTCTTTCTTTTATTAATACAAACTTGTTGGGGCGGATGGCAATACAGCTGCCACTGCCTTATAAAAGCTTCTACAATCTGTTGGCAATTATATGGCCTAAGCCTTTGAGAGGGTTTACTAATCAAATTTAGAAAACGAAAATCATGTGAGAAATGAAACTTTGAGAATATAATTCTCAATGGATGATATTTTCTTACCAAAAATAAAACTATGCTTTGGGATGGGCATAAAAATTCTGTATATTATAAACAAGGAAGACTGCTTGAAACAGAAATGTAAATTAAGTAAATGGTACAAAATCATAAAATTTATTTTTAATATATAGATAAGCACTTGAAACCTGAAATATGCTCACTGGCCTGGAAAGGGTTAATCATGTGAGAATTATTTTCTTGTAACTTACAAAAATTCTGATATTTTTACTCTAGGAAATTCTAGCTTATCCAGAAGTATTAAACAAGGAAGAACTTACAGATCTAAATGGAATGGTAGAAGTGGTGGAAAGATACTTCAAAGAAAAAGGTAACACAATTTTTCAAATCAAGAGTAAGCATAAAGGATGCTGGAAAAATCAGATAATAAGACTTTGAAATAAAGTCATTTAAATAAGAATGGCTTTAGAATCCTTATTTTCATATTTATTTGTTCTGATAAATAATAGTAAGGAAATCACTACAAAATTCATCTTTTTAGAAATGTATAAAGGTTTATTCTAAAATATAAACAAATAAATATTTGTTCTGGAACTAAATATTTAAGAATTCTAAGAACCCATGGATAAAAGCCAAGGAGAATGTTATAAAATATAGTTAGAGTGAATCTTAAAGATTTCATGGTTATGAAAATACTGCTTTATGCAAAGGCATCATTCAAATTTTTATTAAGTAAATATTGTTCTTGTATTAAAGTATTGACCCATTTAACCATTTGAAGCTAGAAATTATTGTTTTAGTTTCAATACCAAAAGTATTTTGGCATTGAATTCTAAGAACTCATGAATGAAGGCAAAAGAGAATATGCTGTAATATGTCAATGATACTACATCTGCCATATCCAGTACCAATGAGGGCTTTCATCAGACCAAATAGGATATAACAGTTATATCAGTGGTCTAACAACTATATATATATATATATATATATATGTGTGTGTGTGTGTGTGTCATCAATTTCCATGAATAACAACTGTTGTGGTGCAAACCAAATTAATTAAATTAATTCTCATTATCAGTTTTATTTAAATATTTTACAAGTCAGGTTTTTAGGATAAGACCTTTTCAAAGTTACAAAAGATTGTTTCTTTTTAATATGAAAAGCATTTTGACAGTGAATCTTCAAAGCAATTTATCTGTACAAAGTTTAAGAGGTGATTTATTTTTTACACTTTTAAACTGTAGCAGTTTGCATAAAGAACAAAACTAGTCATATCTATTCCACAGTAAATTTTCTTAGGAAACACCAAATCTTTGGGTCATTATTTTTTAGTTTTCTTTTAATTGGTGGATACAGGACATTTTTTATTTTTCAGTTGACTCCAAAAAAATTGACAATGAAGCTGTAATCCCAGAAGAAACATTACAGGGTTTAAAAGACTTGGGTCTATTTGGGCAGCAAATACCTGTAGAGTATGGTGAGTATGTTAGAAAATAAGGATGTTAGCTTAAGAATTGAAAAATCATAGGTTATAAATGTAGATAAGTAGAAAAATAAGGTAAAGAGCTATATTGGTTTTCATGAAGAATGTGTTTGGTAGCAGACAGAATTTTTAGCTACTAAATTTTTCTTCAATTATTTGTAAAATTATTATTTCAGTTTCTGTTCTGTACAAGTTTGTGCTGTTTATTTACTCAAAACAATATTCTTATTTAAGTCTGTTCATGAGTTTTGTAATGTTTTTGTAATTAATCCCAAACTATTCAATTTTCTTGTTAAATATACAAAGAAATACACTAAGCCTTTAATATAATGGTAATTAAAATTGTTTATTAGGAAAGCAAGTGCATTTAGTGTTACATTTTTAATGTATATTCATATGTAAACAACTCTGAAGTGAGTAACTTCAAATTTGTGCTTGAAAATAAGTTGTTTCTATAAGTTGAGGTAACTCACTCATACACAAGCTACAAAAACAAAGCACATGCAAGTAATTAAAAAGTATTTATTAATTTGTGATATTTTTCTTAACAAATATAAATCTATGCAGTGCACTGTTTAATTGTAACCACGTCATGTTCATGCAGGGGGTCCACTATCTCCTCGTAAATCTGAACATGACGCGGTCTCATCTTTGGTGGGACAGTATTCCACATCCTCTCCTTAATTCTGTGGGTAAGCGAAATTCTCCTTGGGGAGTAAAGACAACTGTTTGTAAATCCAGACTGGATGAGTTCTGGACTTTGGTTGAGTATGGCATATGATCCCGTCAATCCAGACCTGGGATGTTGCCTTTTGGACTTCTTCAGGTTGATCAAAAGTACTGTCCACTTTGGTGTTTCTTTCTTTCTTTCACAAATTTGGTGGTTTCTTTCTTTCTTTCACAAATTTGGTGGTTTGAAACGCATCATTCTTTGGTTACTGGTAGGTATCCTATTACAAATATATCTGTAGTCCAACTGCCCTGGCCACCAACGTGGGATATGGGTACCATGACCCCTTAAATCCAACCCGAGTTGTGGAACCTCGGCTATTTGGTTGGGACTGGACCATCAAACTTGTATTATATTCCACCCTTTTCAATTTTCTGTAGTTCTGGTTGAAGAGCATACCTGTTCTGGATGTAGTGCAGTGTTCCCCACTTTGATACCACTTCTTGTGGTATATATTTGTTTTCTGCAGATGCTTTCTGTTTGTTCTCTGTCCTCACTGGCCCATCTGCCTTCACAATGTGGGATTCCAGCTATTAGTGTCAGTGGAGGTATGTATGTTTAGGAAGTTATCATTTTCCTAAACTGAAAATGTCCTCCCCACTAAGAGCCTGTGTTATTGACCGGAATGTGGTAAGTCTAGAAAAAGTTATTTTATTGTCTGCATACAGTGCTTATATACTGTACCTGCATAGAGGGCGTGTGAGGCCCAGCATAAAGTTTTGCAAATTAGATATTGCCAAGAGCAGTCGAGCGGGGTATATAAAGACTGGAGCAAGCGAACACAACGTTAAATGGCAAAGATGAAGATCGAGAAATAGCTATTAGTGTCAGTGGAGGAAAGTATGTTTGGAAATACATTTTTAGTTTATGAAAATGATAACTTCTGTATTTATAGGGGGACTTGGTTTGAATGCTACAGAATTTGCCAGATTAGCAGAAATTACAAGTTTGGATGGAGCAATTGCTGTTACTCTTGCAGCACACCAGTCTATAGGATTAAAGGTAAGAAGAACAAAAATAGTTGCATTAGAGGCTACAATGAATAAGATTAACTGTGAAATAAATCATTATTGGTTGAGTAATTTTTTAATACAGTAATTTGAATAATGGTAATTTTTTCTATATATATGTCATAAATATTCTTGAAATTTATGGAATATGTTTGAGCCTTCTGTAATAATAGGTTTATAGGAAATGAGAAAAGTTATTATTAGTAGCTACCGTAATGCTTATTGTAGTGAATCATATAGAGGAAATTCAATCGGAACCTTTATCAGAACTTATCTGATTGTTCATATGCTAATCTATCCTCAGCTTTGCCCTTAAGAAACTGTAACTTGACTGAACCATAAAACTTAGACACTTAATATTTTTCTCCTGGATTGTAAAATTGCTAATTTTATGACTTGTAAGTTCTGTTATTGCTCACAGTAAAAGTGATTTATGAGATTGTTGGCTACCTTTGCTGTTTTTAGCTATTCATATTTCAACCATTGAGCTGAGCATTAAAATGTGCAGTTTTCCTATTTTTGGAAATCAAAATAAGGATTTATATATTTTTTCTTTATTTCTTGATAATTGTACATCATTAATCATTCTTTGTAGCATTGGTATAAATGATAATTTTGTTTGGGGTTGGTTTTGTAACTTTTGTGAGCTAATTTTGTTTTTTCTGAGTAACTAAAAATTCAGTGTATGATTACATTTCTGGATGTTTCTTGAGTAGGGTATCCTGATTTCTGGTAATGAGGAACAGAAGGCCAAGTATCTACCAAAACTTGCCACAGGAGAACACATAGCAGCATTTTGTTTAACTGAACCAGGAAGGTGAGAACAGATTTGTGAAATTCACCATTACAAACTTATTCAAAAGTTATATAATATACTGTTTTTCTAATGTTTCTTCTTCTTTCTTATTTCTTCCAAATACTTTTCATTTGACCACCATTCCTTCATTTCTCATCAGATTAACTTAAAACTTGGTGGAGTTATACATTGGTCCAATACACCCAGGTGTCTTTTTCATTTTTTGATTCAGACCTTTTTAAGGATTTTATTAGGTCAAAGATAAAACAACCCAGGAATGTGTATTTTGAGTTCTGTGCAATCCTATTTGCATACAAAACAATATGATTTGCCCATTTTGAGTCTTTTCATAAAAATCCAATTTTGTCACATAACCAATATGTAAAATAGGATATATATAACTACTATGAGTGATGTAAACTTTTGGTTTAATAAATCTATAAAGTATTTAACCCTATCAAGACAGGTAGGGGTCAGACAGCATGTCATCACATTTGTAGATTGACATTCAACATTTTATTTGGCTATTATTTTATAAACGTATAAGTTTGGTATGAAATTGTAGATTTTAATTCAAATTTTAGTGTTATAAATTAGTTAGTTTCTTAATTTTAAACTAAATATTTAAAAAAAGGCTAAATATCAATTTTTGTGTGTCATGTGACATGTAGCCTTCTGGGTTTGGTCAAATCACATTTTATGATGCCCACAATACAACGTCTATAGTTTTGTATGAAATAGAAACTCAGATGTTTGATATTGGTAAGCTAGAATATAAAATAAGAACCTCCTACCTTTTCTATTTGCTGCGATATCATGATATTTTGCAAACCCACCATATTACCTTCGCCCACAACTTCATCATTTGAGAAGACTTATTTATCTATGTTTACTTTTACATACCAATAACTTTATAATCAATTGAAAGCTATATATTTAATCTACATAATTCTGTCAGTCTTCCTAAGTTATTTACGAGAGAAATACTCTTATATCATTGAAAAGTTTGAAGTATTTCTATCAAGGCTATTTTGTGAATAGAAATTATATTTCAAATACAATTTAGTTAGGAAGCCTGATAAATTACAGTGGATTTTTGGAGTATTGGTATAATAATTTATAATTTTTTTGTATTCCAAAATGCTTATATAAAGTCTACAAAAATTATTATTTTTCCATCTCCACATGTGAATTTAGACGATGCTTAGCAAGTATGGCTCACAAGTGCAAACAAGGACTTTGTAGCCTGGAAAGTAGTAGAGATCATTGTTTTCTAAATATTTATATTTACTGTTTTATGTTTGAAGAAGAATAAATGACATTTAAGTATTTATTTGAAAACATTGGTTATATATATGTTTACTGTATTTTACAAAGTAAGAACTTGTGTTATTTTTCTATTCATTTACATTGAGGTTGAATATAAACAAATTATACAAAACTAAAGACTTGACTTCCTAAACAGGAACAATGATACATTGCTTAATATTCAGCAGGTTTCTATTTCAGCTGCTAACAGTAGAATAACAATAGGATATAGGCGTAAAAAAGATTAGAAGAAACTCTCAGGAGATTTACTTGGAACTTTACTGTCTGAACTCAAAGGAACAGAGTACTATTCCTTTTGTTTCTTTTAATTTCTAACTCATTTACTAGCAATAAAATAACTACAGAAAATAAGTGTGAAAAGGTGAGGGTGTAGACTCTGACCATAAGTACTTTGAAATTTTGTAATCACTACAAACATTACCATACATTTTATTCTGTAACCTTTATTTTTGTAATACTTTGATTACTTACCTACAAACTGTAGAAATAAGTATAACGTTACAGTGCAAAAAATAACAAATAAAGTGTAAAGTTTTACTTCAACTAAAAATGTTTGATATTTCATTATGAGGTTTTCTGTTTTTCTTTTGTTTTAACTGTTTATTACCATAAAAGTAACTAAAATCATAAAAATAGAAAGTTTTTGGGTAAGATAATGAAAGAAAAATGATAAAAAAACATTCATGGAGTATACGCGCCAGAAGTTCCAGAATTATTCTGTTCGATAAAATCACGTCAATGCACGTATGCCATGTAATTTTCAACTTCTATCAGGGTATTTTTAGTCAGACACGATTCAAAGGTCAATAAAAAAAAAAGATTAAATATAAATAGATTTATACTGTTAAAAGATTTAAGCTATTTAGAATAAACATTTGTGGTATCCTATTACAAGTTGCAGTTATTCTAGAACAAAAAAAGGTAATTTAGATTTATTTTCTAATATTTATGATGGTTACAGGGTCAGTCAAATCGATCAACACCATGAAGAGTTATATTGATAAAATAACAGATTAAATATAAAGTTTTATTTTAAAAAACGTTTGATGATTATCTAGAAGGATATAGAGATTATGCAAATCAAACTTGACAGATTTCAGATAAAGGAAAGTATTTTTAATATTAAAATCAAAATTATTTTTTATGTTGGACAGTCAACATTCTGAAAGAAAAATTCACGAGCAAATCTTTGATAAAAAAATCTGAAAACATAATTCAAAAACCAGAGATTTTGTGTCTGAAATCTTTGTAATGTTTACTAATAATCTGCAAAACTTTGTAAAGACGCATAGATTTTCAAAAATTACAGTGCAATTACTCTCATAGATACTTTCCCGGGTATGGGCTGGGTGGATTCCACCCAGCCTGTAATGGAAGGGTTGAAGAGAAGATTATAAATAACAAGACTGAATCTACTCTTTAGCATTAATGAGTAGAAATTCATTAAACTTCGTGATGATAGAAATAACTATTAAATGTTCTATGTTTTCATTTTGGTTAAGTATCTGTTCCTTAACCCATTAACTGTGGCAGGAGCAGCTCAGTTGCCATTTTCTGACTCACAGATAAAACTGAGTTGCCATCAATCACAATAAAATGGTAATTATCGTCATTCGCATAGAGTTATAGTTATATATGTACGACTGACGGATATTTCCGTGAATCGCAACTGAGTCATAGAACTTCAATGACGGAAATATCCGTCGTCCGCAGTTAATGGGTTAAATATCTGTATTATGAAACAAAAACGTTATTCATAAATTGTTACTTTTCTTCAAGAATAAGGGGAAAAAAAGGCTTTTAAAGTAAAAATGGGATTAAGAAAAAACTGAAAGAGAAAATAAGTGTAAAATTTTATTATTATTTAGAGTAATTGTCTGTGATAAAACTGTTATATCATCACCCAATGATTAAAATGATTAAAGTCAATTGCTTCGTGTTCTCATTTTGGGTATCTGTCTGTCACACTTTTGTTAATCTTATAAAATGAACCACAATACTTTTACAGAGAATAGAAAATAACTATTAATTTTTTGTGTTGCAATAATTGTTTATATTAATAGTTCATTGGCATAAAAATTGCAAATTATGATTGAATTTGTTCTTTGTATTTTTATTTTTGATTACTATTCATTATTGAAACAAAAAAGACTGATTAAAAATAGTGCCAAATTAAAACATTTTTGTCTAAGAGTGACAACATCAACAAAAAGTAGAAAATTATTATCAAATCTTGTATTATAATCAAATTTGAATAATTAGTTATTTAAAATGTCAATGTTCTGAAATACACCTTCAAATGTTAGAATATTAAGTCATGGTGTTTCTTATCTAAACTATTTTTTACATAGAGTGTTTAGTTTTGTTGTAAAGTATATGTAAAAAATGATTAACTCTTTAAACCCATAATATTTTATGATTTCTGCTGGAATTATTTTTATGACTTCCTGATAATTATCACCATGCCTTATAAAACTTCAATTATCTTAATTTTGTGGATAATAATATGGTTTGGATTAGTTTTCAGCCAAAAAGATATAAATGTTATTAGATGCTGTTACCATCCAATGAGTAAATTAGGATTTTCAGACAGCTGCTGGTAGTGTCTGCTCAGGTTTAAGGAGTTAAGAATAATGGATTGCTAACATCTGTGATCATTATAATCTAAATGCTTTATTAGATTAAGTGTTTCATTAGTTTAACACAATATTCCCTATTTTTCTTAGTGGAAGTGATGCTGCATCCATCCAAACAAAAGCCACATTAAGCAAAGATGAAAAGACCTTTTACTTGAATGGGGAGAAAATCTGGATCTCTAATGGTGGGATTGCAGATATCTTCACAGTTTTTGCTCGAACTGAACAACTCAATGAAAGGGTTAATATAAATATATTCCTTAATGCACGCAATGGAACTTTTGTACATTAAAAACACTTGCTTTAAAGACATTACCAAAAGAAGGTTTTCCACATAAATATTAAGCTTGTGATACACAAAATTACTATATGTAGATAGAAATTGTTACATTAACTTCTCAGTTTTAATGATAATTGACTTAATATCCTTGGAGAATACAATAACAGTTGAAATGTGAAAATATCATATATATTATGATTCGTTATTTACAGCTTGATTTGATGTTAAAATTCGTGATCAAAAAAATTTAATGCGATCAGAAATCAATGAATATCTTTCAGAATGACATAAAATGTGTGTATTGAAATAACTACGATTGTTTTTTTATCATACATACACCATTATATTTATTATACATATGTCATTGTAATATATTTAGACTTGAAAAATTGAATTTTGCCATGTATAGTTTTCCTTGTTATTTTGCCAGCATGAGAAGGTTGAGAGTATTTCAGCTTTCATTGTTGAAAGAAAGTTTGGTGGTATTACTTCTGGTAAGCCTGAGGATAAGATGGGAATTCGAGGTTCCAACAGTAAGTGTCAATTTTTTCATATTGTTTTTGATGAATTTTATATGTTTCAGCAAATATTTCATCATACTTGCATGTTGTATCAGATAGATTCTTTTTTTTTGTTTTAATTAATAGTTTTATAATAGACAATATACTGCAAACAGATTGTGTATGCAAATTAGAATTTTTTTTTGTTTTCAGCATGTTCAGTACATTTTGATAATACACCAGTTCCTGTTGAAAATATGTTAGGAAAGGTTGGGGATGGTTTTAAAGTAAGTCTATAATGTTTTATTCTGTCAAATAAATATTTTTATCTCTTTTGTTTCTTCTTTTCATTTTCATGATTCTTTTTTCATATCTTTTTATACAATCTTCTATGCATGTAGCTACTGGTTGAAAATCCATAGTAAAAATCAGTCTTAAATAAAACTACTACTAACAGCAATTTTCAGAATTAATTTTGTCATCTTTTTATTTTTCATGAACACCTTATTGGGTTAATGAATTTCAGTGAGAGAATGACAGATGTGTAATTCTTGAAAAGATATCATTCCATCTTCAGATGAATTGTAACAGAAAAATTTTAACTGATAAAACATGGCTCAGTCATTTTGACCAACCTTATAATCACCATGTAACTGTGAAACTACATATGAATTTACTGAGTTATCTTCACAAAATATGGCAAGTCTTTAGATAAATATTAAAGGTTCGTTTTACACAAAAAATCAGATTTTTCAATTAAATATTTTTGCTAAAGATTTTTATGAATCTACAAAGCCTTTAATGAGTCAGCACAAGTGCAAGATGATTTTCACTACAAGAATAAAAATCCTTTTTTTTTCAGAATTCATTTGAATAACCTCTAGAAGCTCCTAAATGAATGTTGGAAGTTTTCTTTAGTAAAAAATTTATATTCTGATGCAATATCTTGCCTCTTCTCACATAATAGCTTTTCTTGTTCAGTGTAGCCCTCTATATGTGTAATTTTTTTTTATTGCCACTAGCATTTGAAACTCCCACCTACCCCACATTTCAACGTGGTTTCAGCTGCATTGTAGCATGCAAATAAGCATGCACCAATGGAAGAGCAAGACACACTCCTGTTACAGCTGGCTCCCTCTTTACAGTAGAACTCAATCTTCACTTCTCAATTTGGCACAGTGGAGATCAGACGTCTGCAAAAATTTGTTTGTGTTAATTAAAGTGTTAGTGCACATTCTTTTTCATGTTGATTAATCGATTTTTTTCTCTTTATTAGTAGATTTGTTACTTTCAGTTCATTTAGTACCAGTTAAATAAACGATTGAAAGTAACTTTTTTTTTTCTACTTCAGAAATTCCCACAGTTGATTATGAACTAAGAATTTCAACTCACTACGACCACAGTAGTGAAAACTTCTATAACAACTGCCATGTCTCAGCTTCGGATTCCACACCTTTGGCTAAGGAAGACTTGGCCTTAGTCAGATGGGAATTTGATTCTATCTTGCGGCTAACAGCTTCTCCAGAACCCATATATGACATTCCTTTTCCTGTGGAATCTGAAGATGACGACAAAGATTTAGAGAGGCTTTTCCCTCCTCCTTCATATGTCGTGCAGTCCTGAGTTTCTCCTGTGGACACTCCCAGGCCACCCTCAGCCTTCCTGGATATAGTGTCACAGGTATGTTACCTTTTGTCTGTATCCTAAGTTTTATATGACTCCTCTCCTTCCCTCCTACACTTTGCACCTCACTCATATTACCTTGTTTTCTCCCATCTCCAGATACCAGGGTCCATGCTGATCAATTTGTGTGTAGAGACCAGCATGCTTTATCTCGCTTGAGTTTCAGATCAATGTGCATTAACATGCTATCAAGCGAATTTCCAACAGCTGGAGTTATTGATTCAGGATTGGTGTTCAAACCCTGATATTTCTGTGAGATTCTCCCATACCCAATTTTCCCACCTTCATTGACCCTAACCACCCTCATGAGTTATTTTTCCTCCATTCACCTCCTCACAGAGCCTATTCACTGATTCCCCATGGGGATTTTCAGAAGATACTCATATCTTTATTTTTTCCACATTGGCCTGTTTATCATCCTTGGCCCTATCCCTCCAAACATGGCTCATTGATAACTTAACAGAGACAACACCACAGTGGGTGTTCATCTTCCACCTCCAAAATCCGAGTTGCATCTGTTTACAGATACTTTTCATATGGCTTGGGGAGAGAGTATGGATTCTCAGGAAATCTTAAGTCACTGGACTTCAGTTGAGATAACAATGCACATCAATTCCCAAGTTTTACTATGGTTATGAGATGTTTGGGGTACTTCATGTCTGGATACATTTGTCACCCATCTCAATATCAAATTACCCCTTTTTGGTCCCCATTACCTCATCCTTTGCCTTTACCAGTAGATGCCTTCAGTCATGATTGAACCAACCTTTACCTGTATGCCTACCCTCGTATCCATTTCCTTCCCAGGGTTTTATCCATCATCCAGTGCATTCTATGTAGTATCCTTCTGATAGAACCTCACTGGCCAGCACAAATGTGATTTCCAGTCCTTACCCTCCTCCAGTCAGCACCTCCATTACCACTTCCTCTTTTTCAATCTCTCCTCCATCAACTTCAGTCACCAGTGTTTCATCCCACAATCGCCACACTCCAGCTTGATGCATGGCTTTTGTCCAGTCCATTGCAAGGCAGTCCAGATTATCCACACATGTAGCTTCCATTTTTTCACATTTTGAATGACCTTATTCCCTCATGGTATGTCAGAAAAAATGGTGTTTTTTGGCATTGGTTTCTCCACCACGATTACCTTTCTTCCCATTCAAATATTTCTCATGTCTCCAAATTTTTTATCTGGCTGTTCAACAATGGTTTTTCCATATCTACTATTGGTGGGTATTGTGCAGTCAGTTGGGTGTTTTCCTCTCCTATCATTTCTCTTTTGTTGTGTTCTTTCCTGATCCTTCCACCTCCTCGTCCTGTAGCCATACCACACACCATATTTCAATTGTGAGTTGGTAACTTTCTTTTTTTCTTTTCTTTCTTTTCCCTTCCTCTTCTACATTGGATCTTTCTCAGTGGCAAATGATGTCTGTCCAGGTATACTTATCAGCTGGAGAACCCCCATTCTACCATCTCGTACAGGATTAGTTCCCAGGAGAGCTGGTTTTGGAAAGGAACTGGACCAGCCAACAAATCTGCACTGTATGGCCTTTCAAAAAAATACTAATTAACTGGGGAATCTGTATAATACCATCTCTTGCAGTTTGATTCTCAAGAGATCTGGTGTGGACAGGAGTTGGACCAGCCTAGATATATTTTGTTGGCTGGGAAACCACCACCCTAACATAGAAAAGGAGCTGGACCAGCCAACATAACCATAACAACAAGGCCTATAATGCCCACTATTGAGATGGGGTGTTCCACAAGACTGCTAGTAGGTTCACCTCATGGTATATTGCATCATAAATATACACGTCCCAGACCATACTGGCTCATGAACTGCCATGAGTATAGCAGAAGGGGATTACTCTCCATTTCTTAGATTGAATAAATCAGGAGCAGCCTGCTTTTCAAAATAGGGTCTTGTGGTCACCCATTGCACAGTGTCCAGTGTAGCATTCCTTTGGGCTCTCCACTGGGCTTATCCCCTCTTTCTAGCTGATGAGGTAGTGGACCATGGAGGCTTACTCCTGAATGTACTCAATCCCACTCAGTCAAGAGTGGAGCAGCGGTGTTCTGTTGGTGTAGATGGTGCAGAACCCTCCTCCAACTACAGACCAGACAAAAAATATCTGTACCTGCCTGTTAATATACTGGAGAGGATCCATCAAAATGCAGTTCACCATTCTGTCTGGGAACCCCCCCATCCTACTATCTTCCACAGTTTGCTTCCCAGAAGATTTGGTGTTGGAAAGGAACTGACCAGCCAACAGATGTACTATTGGCAGAGAAATCACCTCCCACAGGTCAGTTCCCAGGAGATCTGGTTTTGGAAATAATCTGGACCAGCCAAGGGATATTCTGGTTGGCTGAGGAACCCCATCCTACCATCTCCTGGACGTCAGTTCCCAGGAGGTCTGATTATGGAAAGGAGCCAGACCAAAAAACCATAAGAAGTCCATCTTGTTTTGGATTTCAGGGAATCACCATGTTACACTTCCCTTCCTACCATTGCTCAGATGATGAGTTCTCGTGTCACTGGTTTTTGGCTGTGGATCTGCACACCTGCCCTGACTAGCAAGACTGAACAGAACGTTTTTTGCTTCTGTTTCCTCTTTTGAGGTGAAAACGTTGGGGACCTTCCTCCTACTGTGGACTAGAAGATAAATATCTAATACTGCCTAGCAGCACATACTTTCACAATGGGCAAAGAGTATACCTGGTTCAGATGTGGGGCAACCTCCCCACATGTGTGCTCCTCTAACAAGAGAAGTTACACTCTGTGGGCATTCTTAGGACACTTTCCAAAGGGTGCTCATCTAAGTACCCTTTGCACTGGTCCCTCCATTAGGTCAGTGTGTAGGAAGTTAATATTTTCTTAGATTGAAAATATATTTGCAATAGATACCTCCGCTCACATTTCCCACCCTTCTTCCCCACTATTGGTGCTTCTTTTCTGCCTAATCTTGAAGTGAAGATTGGGTTTTACAGTAAAAAGGTAGCCAGCTGCAATAGGAAAGTGTGTTGCTCTCCTACTGGTGGAAGGATGTTGCATGCTACAACCAGGCTAAAGCATGCTGTGTAAAGGAGAAATATAAAAGTTTAGATGCAGAAGTAAGGATGTTTATGTATTACTTTCCTTGATAGAGTTAATTTATTTAATATCACAATTATTTAGCATCTTATACAATAAACAACTTCAAAATGTCCCAAATGAAGTACCTCAGGTATCTTTGAATAGACATACAAAATGATATTATAGGTTAATATGTTTGCATTACAGTTCGTTTGATGAAGAGAGAGAGTGAAATCTTTCCCTGAAGTCCACATCTGTCTTTCTCTTAATAAAATTCATTAATCTAACAAAGTGTTCAAGAAGAATGAAAAGATAACGAGTTTTTTCTGAAAATTATTGCTGGTGAAAAAAAAAAGTGCTACGTCTTATGGATCTGTTGTAGTTAATCTTACTAAATTATTATATTGTATGCTTGAAATCAGAAATAATAATTAATTATTAATCTGTAATGTCAGTCAATGTGAATACCATAAGTATCTCTCTAGAAATACTTTGCTAATATATGTTGAGGGTTCGATATTTTTTTTTTTTATGTATTCCAAGCTCTTCTAAAGATTATTTGTGTTGCAGGTGGCTATGAATATTCTTAATAGTGGAAGGTTTAGCATGGGTAGTTCAGCAGCTGGGTTTCTTAAAGAATTACTTGGTAAGTCCTTGTATTTATACCCAGAAATAGTTTTCAATACTTATTAGTTTGTACAGAAAGACACAAAAGTGATATAATTATTTAATTATAAAAGTAAAGTTTAATGTCACATCAAGCATTGTAGTTTAACCTTTTCACCCCAGGTATCCGTCACTATGCATGACAAAGTTTTTAGTGACTTTCATTTTATTGAACTAGTTTTTGCTTATGTTATACCAATGAATATGGCATAAACACTTAGCTAATAATCCATAGTTTAATAGTATATAAGTTTTAAGTTCTTAATTCTATAAGGAAATATTCAAAACAATCCTGAACTTGCCGTAGTGTGACATTAACATATTTTCTCTAGGCATCTTGTTTTCTCTATTTTATTCACCACCCCTTGAAAAAGTACGAAATTAAATGTAAATTACTCTCTATAGAATCATCACTGCTCAAATGAACCATAATTTTTATAGCCTTCAATTTTGTTTGGTTACAGAGCTATAAATAGAAAATCACACCCCTTCTGCTACACCTACCTGTCACATTCTCTCTTTCAGGCTTTGTTAATAGTTCTCTTTTACATTTAATTATATATTACCAATAACCAATAGAAAGTCAAGGTTTTCATCTATCAAATGACATGTTGTGTAATGTGTTCTGAACAGATAAGTGTTAATTTCACTCAGAGTACAAGCTTCATTCCCATAGGAAAGTTAATGACTAGCTTGGATGAATTTGTAATGACTCTTTCGTATCATTAGAAAGCGAGAAAAATTTGAGAGTTAGGGGAAATTGTTTGCTTTTTACATGTTATTAGTCTATGTTCTTTGGTGCATTATTTAATTAAATAAAAATTATTTAATGTATTATTACCACTAATATAAAATATGTAGGCTTAAGTACAATCGAAAGCAAGAAAAAGAAAATTGGGTAAGTAATTTATTTCTTGTTTTTCATATTTATTCTTTATTTATTATTATTAAGTATCTAAAGTGTAAAAATAGGATATTTTGAGGTTAGTAAGATTAGTTTAGGTAAAATGAATAATAATATAATAAAATATGTTTCACGAGGCATGCATGTGAACAGCACATAGATAATGTAATTTGATAGCATAACGGGAGCTGCACATGCACCAAGAGGTTTACAACTTATTATGTCATGGATAGTAGTTAAACACAGTTCAAATGGAAATAAAACAATATCATTTATTTATGAATAGATGTATACTGTTACGAGCTTAAAGCTACTTGGGATGAACTAATGTAGTTTCATGTTACAATTTTAAGTTATTCTAGAAAGAAAAAAAAGGTAATTTATATTTATTTAGATATTTTTTGGTGGTGGTTACGAGGTCTGTCAAATTGACCGATCCTGTTTTGAGTTAGGGTAGAGAAAATAACAGATGAAATATAAAGTTTCACTGGAAAAAAACGTTTGAAATGCATTTAGGAGGTTTTAGGGATTACAGAAAGGAAATTTGAGATTTTTGAGAGGAGGAAAAGTATTTTTAATCTTGACATGAAAATTACTTTGCACATGGACTATTCATAACAAATACTCAATATAATCATGGACAATCATGTTTGTGTTTAAACTTACAACTCTTACTTTACCAAAGATTAATCCCCCCTCCCCCCATGGTGTAGAAAGCACAGATGGCCCATTTTGTAGTTTTATGCTTGTTTTTTCCAAACATTCTTGTTCTTTCAACTATGGGAGCATTATAATGTGACATGCAATCCCAATTTTTATTGATAAAGCGCTTGACTTGCCATCTGAGGGTCAAGGGTCTGAACCCCCTTCCACCAAGTATGTGATGG